ACGTTTTCGTCATGATCTGCGCCCGACACGTGCCCGGCTGTCCGAACGCGCGAGGCCCGATTGAAATGAACCCGAAAATGACTCGTCGCGTCCAGCGCGCGCACGAGTTTAAGCGATGGAGGCCGAGGGCGCGCTTTCCTATCGTTTCTGCAGTATAAATGTTCCTAAAGTTAGGTGGGCCGGCGAAAAATGTGCGGTCGCTTTTTCTCGGGCAAATTAGGTCAAATTTTTCTCCTTTAATTTGCTGTTAATTGACCAAGCGAACCATCAAAAAGTCCAAAATGTATGCTCAATGCCATGTGGCCGAAAACCAGCGATCGAGGCGCATGCGTGATTTCCGGGTCTGGTTGCTCCGGCTCCGACCGAATTCGGGGAGGACAATGGGCATACAGTATGCGCATGCAACGGAGCAAAAATCTTCTTGTCAAATTGGGGAAACTTTGGCGGAAATTCGATTTTGACCATCAAAAATTCCAACCTCATGTATCTACGACAAATTTACCTTCGTTAATTTCCGTTAAATTTTACCGTTAAATTACCGAGTTAAATGACACGCGACAGTTAACGGGTATATATTAGTTTAGGATTTTACCCTCCGTTTATCACATGTATACCAATTTATGATTTTTCGTGGTATTAATCTAATTTGACTAAAACTGGCGGAGGATAAATTTATCGCAAATGTATCGGTCTGGGGTTTTTGGTAGTCAAAAAATTAGTTTGAGGTAAATTTATCACGAGTGTACAAATTTCGAGATTTTTCGTTGTATTAATCATTGGAAATCGACCGCTTTGCCGACGGTCCAGCCGGTCGAAAAAAATTTCAATATGATATTTGCCGAGCTAATCTTTTTTTATTTATTGTCAATACGACACCTTTTTAAGTTAATAAACACGAGGCGTTAGATGACACGCACACCGGACATTCACCTAACCTTGTGGAAAAACGAAGCACGAATGTCTTTTTTTATATTTGATTTATTCGCATCGTTTCGAAAGTCCAAGTTCCCAACATGTCGCACACCAGCAGAAGCAATCTAAGCAAAAGTAATCCCCAGACATTGTCCATATGGTTCACACAATCTCCCGGTCAGTGCGGCCACCTGTCCGACAGTGAAGGCACTTGAAGTTTCAATTTTCTTTTTTCTTTGTATCTTATATTTATTTTCTCCCCTAGACCGCTTCGGCGGAGATTACACGTCCCTCGATTTCAAAAAAAAAGTTATCAACTGTTACCCGATCATGTATGTAAAAAATCATATTACTGGTACGACATGACCGACCAATCATAGCGCTCGATTATTCTGTATACGGGATTAATGTATTCGAGAAAGATAGGTGAAGAGAGATCATATGTATATAAAAAGCATATGTACTGCCATAATCAATCGATATGGGATATTTCGAAATGCTTAGTTCCGATCGCGTGGAACCATTAATCATATGTTTTCTTTTATAGATACAGAAAAGTGTGGTCGCTTGATTCGGACGTAAATAGGAAAGGCAAGCATGTGCGATGGTTTCAAATGATTGAGAAACCTTCCGTTTTTTGTCTTCGTGATTTTCTTACATGATCGTCAGTAGAAGGCCTAAAAAAGATCCGACAAGAATAATTATGGGTTAGGATAAGACGAGGATGCAGTTTAAGAAGAAAAGCTAAGACAGTCCTCCTAAACAAGAGGTAACACTATTTCGTCTGAGATCTCGTGCGGACTTCGGCATCCCTTGAATGTAAAACTCTCGGAAGGTATTCCCTCCCTTATGGGAAAGACAAAGATACGGGGGAAGTATGGAGGTAGTGCATGCGGGCACCGGCACGTTAAAATAAGGAATGCATCCATGAAACTCGCCGTCACTGCAATGCAAACGGACGTACCGTGGAGGCCCCCTGTCGGTAGCTTCGGCTACCCTTTGCTTTGGCGAGGTAACGGTGTAACCAAAGCAATGATGTGGTTTAAGAAGTAAAGCCAAGACAGTGAAGCTTGGGCTCGTATGATTAGCCTGCGATAGAAGAGGAGTCTGCAGACAAAAATAGCTGGGCCGGTTGCAAGTTTTTGGCAGTCCATTTCTTCAAGAAGGTGCAAAAAACCAAAGTCCATTGGGCTGTCCAAAGTGGTTCCCCCAAAGGGAAAGGCTGACAGCTCAAGAGGAAAGACTAGGAACCGCATTTTGAAAGAACAGTACTGAGTTATAGGATGCGATTGATGAGTGAAAAACATGGAAATCCATCATTTTAATGTGATGGATCGGTTGCATCGCCGACGTGGTACGACCGACTGATCAAATTGTCTACGCGATAGGCATCCCCGACTGACTTTTGCGTTTGAAATTTCATAATCCTTATGTTGTGATTGACTTGCTTCTCCACGTGTCACTGTCGCGTGTGCATTCGATGCGCAAAATACTTGTTCATCTTTACGCTATTTTTGTCGAAATAAGTGTTCAGGGTATCGCCCGAAGTTATTTGAATAAGCGGATGACAAACTTCGCGGGTCTATACCGATAATTACACCATATGTCGGTGATCCTATTTCAAATACAAAAGACGTGTAAAGAAACTTCAAGGCAGGGACTAGGACTATGATGTTTGCCACAAGTTGTCTGTGTGATGTTTGATATATGAGAATTAAGAGTTGTCTGACCGAGAGTAGGGCGATCTCTTTGCCACTGATCATCAACGCCATGGGGTTGTGTGTCCATGATAAATAGATGCATTGCATGAGTAATGTCTAATCAAATTCTTAATTAAGACGAACGCCTAGTGGTTTGATATAAATTATTGTTTTAGTACCTCGTTCATGATGTAAGATTCGAATTCTTGACCTCTTCTTCTCAACCCATGAAGGTAGTATAGCCAAGAGAATTATAGAGCAATAGTAAAAACTAATCAAAGTCGAACATCACTAAAGAGAAATTGTAAAGCTGAGGTTTGCAAAACTCACAACATAACCCAGAATTTGTTTTTTAATGTTTGGTACATGTGATTTCTACAGGTTGTCCCATGTGATAAAGCCTCTTGTTGTATTTAGCTCATCTATTTGATAACACCAGTTGAGTGAAAGACAATTATTGGGATTAACAGACACCTTATGCGTAGACACATCTTTTTAATAAAATTTCATGTGTCCGAATACTTTTAATATGGAAAAAATCCCTCAAAAGGGAGAAAATTTGCAACAAAAGAAAAAGAGGCTTTTCGGTTGCGTTTGTCTCTCTTAAAAAACTCGGATTACGATATTTGTGTCAGATTTCCCATAAACTTTTCGCGACAGCCGATTTCTCTGTACGGGGTAATTCGAATTCGCACGCGTTAAGCAATCAATGGTACCCCGAGAATACCTAAAAATCGACGTGAAGCCTAACACAAGGTTGGACGACGTGTGTAAAATCGCGGGTTGTAAATAAAATCCGCGATTTCTTCTAGAGAAAAAAACGAAAGGATTTTATCAACTAGTTAAGCTTGTATGTCAAAGTCAATGAATGCTTGAACTGGGGAGTCGGTGAATTAGAGCTGGTCTTCCTACTTCTATCTGTTAGGCCAATTCAATGCGATCTGGTCTTAGTTGGCTGCAGTTGGCCAGCATACTTTGCCGCGTTATAAATAGATTATACTATACAAGCCGTACGTGCCAGCCAACTACTTCATTGCAGCATATATGAATGCAATAATACAAAGTCAACTCAATTTAATTTCAAGATAAATTTTTGTTTTTTGGGTCAGAAATTTCAAGATAATTTAATGGTCGCCAAAGAAGAGGGACCAACCGGAAGAGGTATATCGCTTTAGGTTAGTACCAAACGCGCGCTGTTCTTGAGCTTCTCTTTTATGCGGGAAAAACAGTTGGGATTTCGTATTTTTTTCAGACATTTATTATGGCAAAAATTAGTTTCACAAATTTTTTAAAAGATAATGTCAAACTGATTTCATATTATCGGAAAGTGAGCGGGGGGGGGCCTCCAACATGGGGTCTGTCTCCGCATCCGAACATCGCATCGAATTTGGCAAACATTTCAATGAGAAAGCGATGCGGGTAGCTCTAATTATTTTTTTTGAAAAATTAATCTCTTCGACATTATAATAAACAATTATTTATTTGTATCCATATCAGTTAGAAACTCATCAAATTATTCAAAAGCCGAAGCCTGTTTTTTCTGCATTTATACTCGAGAACAGCACAGGCGTTTCCTCCCTCGAATAAATCACTTAGCTAATTCCCAACTTTTTTTCGTATTCACCACGAGGTATTATGTCATTAACATGCGACATCGAAGTTCAAATTCAGAAAATCTTCGATTATTTCGTAGATAAATATGAATTTGCAGTAGGCCCCACTTAAAAACATCCCGACTCCATCGATCTACATGTTAAGAAAAATTAGATTCTGTTTTCTGTCCTCGACAATGGAATAACTAAGTTATAAAAAAACATAAAGAAAAAAATTGGAGTAAGCATTTACTAATATCGATATATTTTAAAGATTTTCAAACGATTCGTATAATAGAGGGGCCTATTTTTCAAACCCGTTAAAAAAAGAGAAGAAAAAATCTTTATAAAAGCAAAAATCATCCATAGCACGTATCGTATATGAAAATGGATTCTCGGGATTAAAACAAAAGCTCTCATTAAAATAAAAATTATGATTAGTAGCGTTGCCGCGTAAAGAAATTACTTAGCTTTATAATCGAATGATTTCGCAGGTCAACCATCCAACATTATAGAATATAATTATTTTTGCATGTCGAATGTGTCCCGATTTGCCTTACAAAAATTCTCACACGTGTCCAACGAATCATTCCGCGAAATGCGACGCTCCGCCGGAGATTGTTGGTGACGACGGGGCCGTGACCCGAGACGCCGTGTGGATATCGATTTAGAATTCAAAAGGAAACGAGAGAGGATCGAGACCGTTTCTTCCTCATCTCCTAGCTGGAATCGGCCCAACTTCCCGACTTTCGAAAACCTTAAGCCACGGCCAATGGAATCTCGACGCGTGTCCTGACCCACGTGTTCCAGCCAATGGGAGCGGAGCGTGAGCCGGCCCCCGTCACCCGCTCCCACACGGATTTCAGCTGGGGGGAAGCTCTATAAAAGGTCGGAATCGCGGAGATCGTCGCAGATCATCATCATCAACCTGCGAGACGGAAACGGGAAAGTTCTAGAGAGAGAGAGAGGGAGAGGGATCGCCTGCAACGCCTTCTTCTTCTTCTTCTTCGGCCGTGCTTTGGTGGATTCGCGCCTCTCGGATCTCGCCTCTCCTCCTTCATCAACCATGGTAATCTAATCTCGGCCCTCCCTTTCTCCGCTTTCGCTTGCGGCGATGCTTGTGTTCTTCTCCTGTCCCGATCGATGCCCGCTTCCTTCTGGATCTCTTCCGGAGCAGATGGATGATCGATCGATTGGTTCGAATCGTTTCCTGATCTGGAATGTCATATAGTTGTTCCGTCGGTTCATCGATTCGAATCGCGACCCGCAGCGGTCGTTTTTGGTCAGATTGAGGTTTGCAGTTGTTTTTAGATTCAGGCGTGCAAAATGGCGGTTTCCGTCGGAATTGATGTCCGGCGTTTTGGATTTGCTCCATGCGAACATGTCTCTTGAATGATCGAGACTCCGGCTCGGAAATCGCTTCGATCTATAATTGAGTTAGAGCGCATTGGCTTCGCAATCCATCGTTACGCTTCCTCGGGAAGCTTGTTGCGTCTAGAAATATAGCGACTTTCTGGGGAGATAATGTCCACGAAGCATTGATTAGGGGGGATTTACTCTGTGATTATAATGAGCTTCCGGTTGTTTAAGATTTAGGCGTGCGATGGCGGTTTCTTCCGAATCGATGTCCGGCTGATCGGGTTGAAAATTTGCTCCATGCGAACACGTCCCTAGAAAGATCGAGACTCCAGCTCGAATTCGCTTTGATCTGTTGAGTTCAAGCCCATTGGCTTCGCAATTTATCGTCACGTGTCCTCGGGAAGGTTGTTGCATCTGGAAATATAGCGACTTTGTAGGAAGATAAAAATCCATGATGCATTGATTAGGGAGGATTTATACTGTGATTAATGCCCGTTTAGGATTGTTGGGAGTCGATTAGTTGTCCCGGATTTTATTAAGTTATAGAGTTGCTTCGGTAGAAGAAGACTATCTTGTCACATTGTCCTTTGTTTGTTCTGTGATTTATGTCCGTAGGTAATGTGGAAATTGATCATATGGTGCTAATTTTGATAACTTAGAATTACTGTAATGGAAGGAATGTTGTGACAAATCATGGTCTTTGTTGTATCGTAGTTTTTGTTTCCCACTGGTTTGCTAGGCGTGGATAATGACACTGATCGCCCAATTTTGTTTTAGAAGATTTCAGACCGAGCGTGTTAGAAAATAAGTCGGTGTGCAATGTTTAGGTGTGCTGAACTATTTTTCAATTTCAGACTACATCAAGGCGTTTCGCAGACAGGAAGGTGGACAGGTTCGAAAAGAATATTAAGAAGAGAGGAGCTGTGCCTGAAACAACCACCAAGAAAGGAAAGGACTATCCCGTCGGTCCACTGCTGCTTGGGTTCTTCATTTTCGTCGTCATCGGCTCATGTGAGATTTTCTGCTTGGCTCTTAATAATCATTATAGATAACTGTCCAGGTTTCATCTATTTGCATATTTTTATTTGGGTGAGTAATTCAGAAACTTTGTTAGCGATCTGCTGGAGTTTTCATGGTCATGGGACACGCTTGTTCTCTCAATTTGTAAACTTGAATGCAGAACTCATAACCTGCTGTGTGTCAAATTCTTCTGAAAAAAATGCAATGCACAAGTAAGTTAGAAGGAAAGCATAAGGCTTGCCTCATGTAGGATGAGATTTCCTTATATTTTTTACACGAATGATGCTCATTGCAGTTGTCTGATTTATGATTAGTTATGATAAGGAGACAGAGTGCATATGGTTTCTCCGTCTTTTATCCAGTCTAATGAGGGGAGACGGGTATTATTAGCGAAAATTGTCGTAAAGCTTATCCACATCTAGTATGAAGTGAAGCTGGTTAAGGAAAGGAAAGACATTTATGTCATTATTTCTTTGTTGTCGCCCGTCATATGCATTTTTCACTTATCTAGCTCATCTTAAACCCCCGTACCAGTCTTCCAGTGTTGAAAGACCACTTAATTCACCCTTTATGCACTCCCTTGGTTTCAAACTGGTGTGGTGCTGAAGACGTGGTAAGTTTGGTGCTATTGCACCAAGCCCAATTGACCTTGTGACTCTTTAACTATCAGGTCCCTCTTTAGATCTGTGAATGCTTTGTCGCTCAGTACTCTGTAATGTTAATGTCGATTTCAGTCCTCGTAAGGTGATCGTTCATAGTTCTAACCACTCTGTTTTTCTTACATGTAACAGCTCTTTTCCAGATAATCAGGACTGCAGCAAGCGGAGGAATGGCATAAGCTTTGGGGTGATGGAGAGCAATGTCATCACTTAGTTCGTAGGAAACAGAGAAATGGAAAGTCTATCCGGCTAGTTGTCATGGTGTGAATTCTGGATTCCAATACAATATGATCCCTTTATTTTTCTCATTTTAGTTTCTTCGGAAGGAAATGATGCTCGGATGTTGGACTTGATTGTGGTGATTTTCATCCTTCACATAATTCAGGCTAGAGCCATTCGAATTACAGCTGTGTTCAGATTATATTTATGCGAAATTACCGGAGGACATGGATGAGAATGGACCATCTTTTCAGGATATGGAAGTGAACACAAGACACACTCTCAATTGATCTCCCATTAGTTGCTCAAGAAAATCACATCACCGATTCAACTTCTTGTCCAACTTCTTGCAACCTAATGTGAGAAAGTAGGTCCGTCACAGCAGAGTTAAAATGAGACGCGTAGATGGTGAATATTCAAGGACTACCCATGCTCCCTCGGACAATTGGGACTCTAAGCCTATGATTACAAAAAGCAAGAATACAAAATTAACAAGTGGGTCATATTGAAACACCTAAGACTCTTTTACCATAGCACTTCATCATTACTTTCGTACACTTATCTTCAAAACTACTCTTCCTGCTGGGGGTCGGGGAGGAAAACTATTGAAAAAAGTGTAAAAAAAATCCTAAACATTTTGTATTTGTACTAATTTAGTCATAAATTTTCTTTTAGCACCAATTCGATGCTAAACCTTTTGCATTGATGCTAATTCAGTCATAAACCTTTTGTTTTTATGCTAATTCAGTCCTTCCGGCCAATTTTGGCCAGATTTTGCTGACGTAAAATACCGGCCGGCCACCGGCGCTGACATGGATAACTTTTAATAATATTTTAATATTTTTTGAATTTTTATTTATTTATTCATTTCTTTTCTTTTCTTTTTCCTCCCACCTCGTTGGCCTCTGGCTCGGGCCGGTCGCCGGTCCGGCAACCGGCTGAAGGAAGGAGGGAGAGGAGGGGAAAAAAATAAATAAATAAATAATCAAAAAATATTAAAATATTATTAAAAATTAGGGAAAAAACCACCAAAAACCCCAAACTTTGCCATCTGTGACACATTTACCCCGAACTTTTTTTTGTGACACCAAAAACCCCGAACTTTGCTTTTTGTGACACATTTACCCCAATGTATTTAGTCCATGGGCATTTTCGTCTTTTACGCTTTTTCTTTTTTTTTTCCTTTCCGTGAGGGGGCCTCGCCGTGTCGGCTCTCAGCCGGATCCGGTGAGGGGCCCTCGCCGGCGTCAAGCGAGGGCGGCCCTTGCCCAGGATCCGGCGAGGCGGCCCTCGCCGGCGTCGGGCGAGTCGCCTCGCTGGGCGAGCGGGCGTCCCTCGCCGGCTCGGGCGAGGTCGACCCTCGCCGGCGTCGGGCGAGGGTCGACCTCGCTGAGTCGGGCGAGGGCCGCCCTCGCTCGCCCGGGCGAGCGGACCTCGCCGGCAGCCGGCGAGTGCGCTGCTCGCAAGGCGAGCGGGCGGCCCTCGCCCGGCTCGGGAGGGGACGCCCTCGCTCGCCCGGGCGAGGCGAACCTCGCCGGCAGCCGGCGAGGCCACCCTCGCTCGGGCGAGCGAGGGCCGCCCTCGCCGTCGGCGGGTCGACCCTCGCCGGTGTCGAGCGAGGGCGGCCCTCGCCGATCCGGCGCGGGAGGCCCTCGCCGAGCCGCCGCGGGTCGACCTCGCTGAGTCGGGCGAGGCGGCCCTCGCTCGCCCGGGCGAGGTCGACCTCGCCGGCGTCGGGCGAGGTCGACCTCGCTGAGTCGGGCGAGGCCACCTCGCTCGCCCGGGCGAGGGCGAACCTCGCCCGACGCCGGCGAGGCCGCCCTCGCCGGATCCGGCGAGGGCCGCCCTCGCTCGACGCACGGCGAGGGCCCCCTCGCCGGATCCGGCGAGGCCACGGCGAGGCCCCCTCGGGAAGGAAAAAAAAAAAAAAAAGGAAAAGACGAAAATGCCCATGGACTAAATACATTGGGGTAAATGTGTCACAAAAAGCAAAGTTCGGGGTTTTTGGTGTCACAAAAAAAAGTTCGGGGTAAATGTGTCACAGATGACAAAGTTTGGGATTTTTGGTGATTTTTTCCCTAAAAATTATCCACGTCAGCACCGATGATCGGCTGCCAGCGTCCACGTCAGCAAAATCCAGCCAAAATTAGCCGGAAGAATTGAATTGGCATAAAGATAAAAGGTTTATGACTGAATTTGCACAAATACAAAAAGGTTTAAAACTGAATTGATACCAAAAAAAGGTTTAAAATTAAATTAGCACTAATACAAAAAATTTAGGATTGAATTGACACCAAAAAAAAATTTTAAGACTAAATTAACACAAACACCAAAGGTTTGACTTTTTTTACACTTTTCCCAAAACTGCTGTGATAGATTCGCATAGAGATTTAATATGCAGTTGCCAGAGCAAGTAACGGTGCATACATTATGTAAGCTCCATCGCGATTCTTTGGAGACCAAAATTTGCCGCTAAGCAGAAAAGTGAACCGCTCACATCTTTCAGAGAGGCTTCTACTCCAGCAAACATCAGAGCCACTCTCTCCTTAGATGGAAACCCATCATTCTAATACAACATCGCAGCACAAATTACATTAAGAACCCGTGAGTTTACTTTCAATATAAGTCTTTACCAACCCGAAACCGAAAGACAACAGAAGTGCGGGAATATGTTTTCTGATGATTGGAATCATTTGTCCGCATATGTTTGTACATGGAAAAGGTACGTAGATCAGGTGGCTAACCCCATGGCGTAGGACAGAAAATCCAGCCACAGAAAAAACTAGCAGCTTAAACATACAGCCAATCAACCAAAATAAAAAACCAAATCGACGTCCCTAATCTGAACAAGCCATGATGGCTGCCAGATGTAAAGGATATCGGTTCAAGCAGTAGCGCTTAAGCAAGGGTAGAAGGCAGTACCGCAAGCTATCCACTGCCTCTTCCGCCCACGCGGCACCACGCACCCGGGCACCTTCAGCCATTCCTTGCTGGACATGTCATAAGTTACCAGTCTGTTCATTTGTCTAGACCTCAATGATAACATGAGCAAACCTCTGTTGCCCAAGCAAGTCATCCTAACGTGCTTTCCATAGAAATCCAAGCACCATATATTTGGCATTCTGTCAACCTCCTTCCACAAGAGCGTCATCTTCTGCAGCTCCCATATGCATACACACGTGGCAGCATTCTTGGTAAGCAGACCTACCAGCATGATACGCCCCCCACACTCAGCAAGCGTGTGGTCGGTCAGATGAATTGGGGCTGGTATTATGAACTGCTTCCAGATTCTGGTGACCATGTTGTAGGACACGATCCCTTCCGGATCTGAGCGCATGAAGTAGAGCGTGTCGTCAATGGTAACCGCCTGTGACTTGAAGTTCAGTGATAATGGGAGCTTGATATTATTCGGCATGGTTCCAGGACGGAGCCAAGAGTTCTTCACCGAGTCGTAAATCTCGTACTCCCCCTTGCACCCCACCCACATTATCTTATAGCCCCCAGTGGCAGAACTTCCATTCAGGGTCATCCCCACTGCAATGCGAGACCAGACTTTAATGGATCTAGCTGGCAACTCTTTGGAAGACTGAGTAAGAGGGTTACAGACATAGAAATTTCTGTGACCAATGTCAAGAAAGCAGACAAGCCCCCCGGCAGAGGCAACTGGCAACACGATTATATTTGCAGGCACAGAAGAAATAGTGGGGTGATGCCATTTCTTCAGGGAAGGATCGTACATGACCCCAGAATTCACATTCTCATGAGTGATAGTGTAAAACCAAGGATAATCTTGTTGAACCTGGGCACAATGCTGAGAGAAACTCTGAGAGCAGAGTAACGAGTTCCACTTCCGACACACAGCACGGAAGCGAAAGAATGTCGCGATGGGAAGTCTTGCAATAACAGCCTCAAAAAGGTCTTCTGGGAATTCTCTCCAGATTTCTTGTTCCATAACCTCAGCTGATTTGTCATTATTTGCAGGCTTACCCTGGTTGCGCTCTTTTCGAGATTTCTTGGAAGGGGGAGGCTTGCAGGGATCTATATTCTTAATTCCTCTGGACTTTCCAGCAGCCATTATGGGGCTACAATATTCTGGAGAACTTTCATCAATATCGAGAAAGCACCATCTGTTCAAATAGAATAGCAAATCATTGCAAAAAATGGCATCAGCATTTTGTTCGGACTTCTGATTACAAAACCAGATGCTAACGGGCACCCCAGGAAAGTATCACATTACTAATGAAGATAGCATATACAGCAATAAACAAATTCTCATTCTTCAGAGCATTATCTACTCTATGGTCTCTTCGTTTGGTCAGAACATGACTAGGCGCCACCTTCGAATTTTTAAGCAACATAAAGCAAGGAATTTCATCGGTCGACTCATCAATCAATTCTCCCAAAGATAGACAAGAAGACTCATCAGAAATAAAAGCATGTACAATGCAGCTACACTTATGGGAACTCTAAAACTATCAACCTCTGCAAACCATTACTCCATTTGATTTAGAAGAGAACATATAAACACACCTTGAATATCTGGAATTTAAGGAATTTCACGAACTTGATACTCCAATATATGATGTTATACACTATCTCATATTAATTCAGAAATCCTGTTTCACGAAGAGTCGTTGAGTTCTACAACTACAGTCACATATTCAAAGTGCACAATAACTGCTTCAACTACTTCAATAAATGATTTCAAAAAGCTCCAACCAGAGAACGACATGAAAGGACACGCATTACTCATGCACACACACGAGACTTCATACATGACCCATCACATCAATAAAGTTCGAAACACTACATAGAAGGCATATCCATGAGTTCAATAGACATTAGACAGTAACCAGAACTGTTTTGGAAAGGCATGTTCAAATCATCATTAGACAATAGCCAGAACTGAAGAGTGTTATCCAATAAAAAGGTTGCTATTATGAAGTTATAGAAATGCACCATCAGAAGCAATGTTTGACATGGTGTAGAAATAGAAGATGATGCTTAATACTTGTGTTAATAACTTTTAGCAACTAAACTTCCTGTATTTTTTGACCAAAAATAAAAACTTCCTGTATTTTCCTGTTATTCTGTTTCTCCCAGTGACCAGACAAAGCCATATGGCATGTTGTAGAGAATCACACACCTCCAAAAGACTGGAGGACCACCAAAGGTGAACATACTGGATAGATTCCACATGACATCTAATTCCATTTGCATTTGATTTTTTGAAACCCTTTGAAATCAATGATTTCATCTCTTAGGACTCAGCTTTAAGTTCAGCCCGCGTTCCTCAAACAATTGATTTACCTTTTATCACTATGGAGTAGATTTAGTCTTTGATTTAACACAAAGTCTGCCCTAAGTTGCAAAACATGAGTGCCTAGCCTTCAGAAGTCTACAAATTCATCTTCGAATACTAGTGACAATGAAGACCACACAAGATAAAGGAATCCAGAAATATGAGAGATATAATAGAGATGGGTGTTTTTTGCTGGATTGAAAGGAAAAAAGGAATCATCAATTCATCACAACCGTAAAATCATAATATTCTTTATAGAGAAATGAACTGCTTTATTTCTTTCGATCACAAAATCATAGCAGGATAATTTTATCTAACACTAGAAAGATACAGGGATCTAAAACACACTATGAATTGAAAATTCTCTCTGAAAATACAATTTCCTCTTAGAATAGCACAAACTGCTCGGTAAACACACTTAAACAGGACCACTCATTATCAGTTAATACGATAACGCAGAACCGACATGGAAACATTCTCACCCTTTCAGTTGGGAGAACAAGACTATGCAATAACTGTTGAGCACAGCGCCCTTAGATATGAATATGCAAGACAAGGTATCAATTTCTTCCCACGTGACAACCAAAGGACCCAGCTACAATGGATTTTCACAGAATAAAATCTGAAAAATACATACATAGTTCAAGCTATGTGACCTTGGAGATATATCTACAGCATATAAAGCAAACTCAAACAGGTTATTCTAAATCGAAAACTTTTTAAGTCCATGGATGAAATTTCACATTGTCCACAGGAAAAACTGTACGGTCAATACTTAATACTGAGCCGTAATACTTAATGCTACGCCAAATCTGTGGACTGACTTGAGTGGCTAACAATTCTAGGAGTGGGGCTATTCTTTGTATCGAGAAAATCTTTTGTTAATTCGTTATCTCCACGGACGTGGGTTCTAGGCAAGGAAGACTACATTTTCGGCTCGAAGGAAGATGACACCGATTACTTCCCTCAGAAAGAAGCGAACTTAGAAGACCTTTGTGTTGTGGCAAGCTTCCAACTTTTTCTCCTTTACCATCTGACTTTTCTTCTAGGAATGAATCCGTTGATCCATAATATCACGCAGACCATAAATCTCTTCCCCGAATCTTGCTCATCCTAAAACCACACAAAGTTTGCATCTAAAATGACCAGATTCTTCCAAGACTTCTCCTTTCTTTCTTAAGACACCCAAAACTCTACCCACATTATTGCCCATTCGCACGCTGCCGCTAATTCTAAGGTAAGCCGATTCGCACAAACTCACTCAGAGAAGAAAGTTGCACAGAGAAAGGCGAACCGTTACAGCTAAACCATCAAACGCCCAACTCGAAGATCACTTAGAAAGCGGAACTGCAGAGCATATCTCCGCAAAGCAAAACCCACACAGCCGAAACCAAGAGCAGAGCTCAAAAACGAATCGCAACGACCAACACCGCGAAATCGAAACCGCACGGAGCCGCAGCATCCCGAAACCTAACAACCGAGGCAAAGGCAAGACGAAAAGAAGCCGGAAACGACAAAAGTAGAACAGCGCAGCGGCGGAGAAGCCATGCTCCGGCGCCCGAGCGGGGAGCGGGGAACGAAGAGACTGCGCGGGGAGAGACTGGACCTGCGATCGAGCTGGTGATGGAGGAGGCGAGGCTCGGCGTCGGGAAGGTGGTGGTGGTGATAGGGAGAGCCGCCGTAGAGTTCGCAGAGCTCCTGAAGCTGACCTATGAAATGTCTCAGCATGGCCAGCTCCGCTTCCATGCCCCCTCCCTCCCCCGGAGGAAGAGAGAAGGAGTTCCGCCAATCGGCTCTACGCGCCGCCCCCCGCGGTGGCTCCTCCGCGAATCGCCACCGCAAGCACCATCTCTCTCCCCCCCCCTGTCTCTCTCTCTCTGAAACTCTCTCCCTCTGTCTCTCTCTCTCTCCGAGTGTCTTATGCTTCGAAGTCCGCCTCGCTCTCTCGGCCTCGCCCACTCATTTTTTGCCACGTCAGTGGGGCACCGGTTTTCGCTGCCCTTTTTATTTTATTGTTATTTTGTAATTCCTGATTTTTTGGGTCTTTGAAATTGAAAATTAATAAAAAAAAGGAAATAAATTCGCGAATTAATTATTTGTATTTTCCCGCACGCAACTTCGCCCTCGTGATTATTTTCTCCCCTTTGTCCATTTCCTTCGTCCCCGGTGGTGATTATTATCCGCCCGAACTTTCCTCCGCGATTTTACCTCTTTGCCCCTCCCGCCGGTCAACGAATCACGGAAAGCCTAATATGATGAGAGAATAATTTCTTCTTTCTATTTTTTTTTTCTGCGAGGGGGCAAAAGTGAAAATATTTCGATGGTATATGTGCTCCTTCGTAAAAAATCGGCCTTTTCTTATATTCTACTACTTTTTGCTTTCAAGGACAGCCTTTCAAGACTTCTGATCCACCGTCGCGATAACCGTATCTCTCAAAAAAATGCATATAAAGTCGGGTGACATGTAATTTTCGCAATTCGTGTATTTGGGGTTTTGCAAATGCTCGTTGCATTAACCGGATGTCTTTTAAATGCATATTTGAAATGAGAAAAGAAACATATATGAAAGCGCTCTTAAAAATCCCGGTTAATTCATTAACTTGCTCATTCGAGATTTTTATCGTTCGACATAAAAACATGCAATTTTTTGTGAGAAGAACTGTAACAACGTACCTCTTTTTTTTTTTTTTTGCTAGAACTGTAACAACGTGCCTCAAAATCACGGAAAAGTGGAATTCGGTTCAATAATTTACGCGGAGAACTTATACAAGCATGAGAAATGTCGCCGTTATAAGGATAAGCTATACATTTTTTCCCTCTAAAAGAAGATAAATTATTGCGCAAATGTCAAAAGTTCGGAATAATTTCTCTAGGGGGCTCGGGACCATAAATATTATTCTACTCCTTCCCGGTTATTGGATTCCCTTGGTAAAGGAGAGAGAGAGAGAGAGAGGGGGAGAGAGGGGGAGAGGGGTACGGAGGTAAAAAGGCGCACGGCGGTCCACCGCACGTGCGGAACCCCGCCCCACGTGCTAGCCCGAGGTGTGTGAGGGGGGCGGGGCTTTGCTGGTCAAGAAGGCCGAAGACCCCCCCTTTTTTTCCCCGGGGACCAAAAAAGGCTCTCGCTTTTTCAAGCGGAAGAGATCCAACGGCCCACGATGCACTCCCCATCCCGATCGTCCCCCCGCGCGCGCGCACGCACACCGCACGATCGGGCCCCCCCCAACTTTCGAGTCTCTGATGATGACGATGATTTTGTTCAGAATTGCGGCAACTTATTATTACCTTTTGCCCGATCGTCCAATCCTTCCCCACCCAATTGCTCCCAGGGCGAGAGGCCCCCCCTTTTTCGCGTATCGATATTCCGACCTGAAAAGCTTTCCCTTTTCGCGAAAATTAACGCCACGACCATAAATAATAGGGATAAGTGCATTCAAAGTCCTAAAACTTATCACGCAAGTGTAATTGAGTTCTAAAACTTTCAAAAAGTACAAACAAGTCACTAAAACTTGTCACGAAAGTGCACTTGAGTCCCAAAACTTTAAAAAGTGCAAAAAGTCCTAAAACTTGTCACGAAAGTGCTGACAAGTCCTAAAACTTAATAAATTGGTTCAATCAAGTCCTTCCATTTATTGTACTTTTTGAAAATTTTAGGACTGGTTTGCATTTTGTGACAAGTTTTAGGATTTGTTTGCACTTTCGTGACAAGTTTTAGGACTTATTTGCACTTTTTGAAAGTTTTAGGACTCAAGTGCACTTTCATGATAAGTTTTATGACTTATTTGCACTTTTTGAAAGTTTTAGGACTCAATTGCACTTTTGTGATAAGTTTTAGGACTTCTAGTGCACTTATCCCTAAATAATATAATCTAGAGCAGTCGCTTCTTACCGTGGGATCGTGTAATTCGTCGCCCCATCGAGTCGATCGACCGCGGTATCGAAGCGATGACCGTCCTCAACGAGGCGGCGAGGATGGTGTAACCCGAGATCTGATTATCGTGGACGTGATTTGACGAGTCGATCGTGGGCTTGAAGAAAAAAGTTTTCTTTTTTTTTTTTCCTTTTTTTCGCAATGGGTAAGTGTTCGCTTCTGAAATTCAAATGACAATTTTTATTACGGGAAAAGGAAAAAGAAAAGCCATTTTCACTCGTGTCCGAGGATTAACGAAAAATCTATTAAAATGTCAAATCAAGTATATTACGTGAGTGTATAGAATACGTACCACGTAGCGTGGTCAAAATTTAAGCCTTTTGTGATGTTACTAATGTAAAATTTGAGCATAGAATGGCTGAGATAGCTAGGGATAAAGTTGGGCAATATGCGAATTGCATATTTAATTAAATCTTGATATAGTACATAATTATAAAACTAAAGGCGCAAAACGCTCTTTTTTACCTAATTATCACAAGACCAATTTTCAAAATGCTCGCACAACCGAGCCATCATGATCCAACTCTATTTCTTTTCATTTTATATTATTTTCCCTTTTGTGAATTCATCATGATCATATGCATCGAGTGCACAGTTGAATCCGACTTGCTTCTAAAGATTGTACGCACATCCAATGCAGTCGTGATGGAATCAGAGAAGACTTTACTCATTTCAATGCCAAATCGTGGGGCTCTCTGAATTTCCCCCAAATCGATCGGTGGGTTTTGAATGAATTTTTTTTTGTATATTCGGCTAAAACATTCATCATGGTACCCAGCATGTTGCACTGATTTGCATTCTAGGAGCCATTGGCCCACCAAACTTTTAATTTCTCCCACTTGAAATTTAGCCTAAATTGTTCTCATGTCTTACCTAAAAATCAAGTCATGAAATTGGGAATTGATCTATTTCAGTATTTTTCAACTGATCACATGGGATGCATCATTCAGTGAATGCATCGAGGTTCTTCTCTATCGGGTCAGCATGCCTATGCCTAATGTTGTGTCTACGTCGAGTTTTAACAAACTTCATTATAGAGATTTGATGTGCATTGAATCGCTCTAAAGGTATAAATGGTCGACAAATGGTGCCTATACTCGTACTATACGGATTCTTAAGGTGTTTATCGATAGAATGACAGAAATTCCTTATCGTGAGGACATCTCCCGTCGCTCTTTCTACCAAACTAAACTCTATATGATCGGACATTAAATCTTTGGTTGTTTATCTTAATTAATGTATGGTGATGAAAATTCCCAGATCATGTAATAGGGTTGGTGATCTAGCAAAACCTATTTGGAATTATGTACTGATGTTATTATGTATTCCTATACATTAGTTTCTTTATTTAGTCAATGGGCTGTAAAAGAACATTGCTCTTCAAAATAATTGCTGAAGTTAACCACATATGGAAATCTGTATCCTGCTTAGCATTTTATCGACACAAGGCTCTAGCCATTGTGGAGAGGCGACACCGTACCCACAGTTTTATGGAGTCTTATGCAATGCACGTGAACTAATTTATATCTTTTAAAACTGGCTCAATGTCTATAATTATAAAGAGAAAGGTAGATCATCAATTAAGATTACAGAATTGAAATAACTTAATCCTAAAATTTGAGATGGAATCGCGAGATAATTGCTAAGTATTCTTAATAATGAACCATTTGATTTTTAAAATGTTGATTAAGGATATTACAAAAAATTAAGCGCATTAGGTATCGTAACCTTTGTTTTTTCTCTTCATAATGTTGGTATTCAATGCTGATTATAAAATTGGTATATAAAGTGATATGCTAGGTTATATTGGGTATGTTAGGAATATGATTAAATACTCATTTGCAGTCTGTCGCGTCACTTGATAAATCAATTTTTTAGGTAGATTAATTGTCTATCATTGTTCTCGATTGTTTAGCACATGTTTTTTTTTGGTAATGTTGTTTAGCACATGTTAAATAAGACACTTTTCAACAAAAGGTAGTGTCAATAGGGCATCTAGGCTCACCCATTATTCCGTGCAATTAAAGCGTCATGTCAAATTTAGGTCTGATTTGAGAACACGACCCGTTAATTATTCGTATCATAACATTGAAATCCCGTCCTGACGTTTACTAAACGAGTTACACGTATGACACGGCATGATTGATGTGCTTAAGATATGATGCCCTACATGAGCATGCAACATAGGTTTGGATGTCCATACAAGCATTTAAATGTAACTAGTAGACATATCATGTCAATTCGAATATGAACCTATTCGATTAAACATTTCTAAACACACTATAAACAGGCTAACGGGTCCAAACCAAACACAACATGCTAAAAAAACGGACCTACCCATTGAGGACATGAACGCGTTTGATTACGTCCCACGTAAATTGATCATGTCGAAAGTCATCCGCCCTAAGTTACTATTGTGGAGTAGATCTCCTAGGAATTTGACACGAAATCCGAAATCTCACGCCTATGTGAAATTTCAATTGAGGGGGGTTGGACAGACTTGTTGCTACGGGCGCTCTGGGAGGCCCTTCCATCAGCTTTTCTTTTTGCTGACTC